CTGCTAGTACAAGTGCTGTTTCTGCTGTTTGTGATAATAATCCTACATCCGCACCTGATGTAAAGCCAAGACGCAGAGCTTGCCCAATCTGAAGAGCCTGAATATACTGCTTCTGCGGCTGCTTCGGAGGAACCAGCAGGTTTTGTGTTGAATAACTGCAGCAATGTGCCTTTGAATGTGAGCAATTCTTGGGTGCACGGCAGCAGGCGTAGCTTGCCTTTCTCTCTTTAAAAAAGCTCACGAAGAACACAGGATGTGAATCATTCTTCTTTACATGTGCTTTCACTAAGAATGGAATGTTTCTTTTCTGGTTGGTCTGTTGTTGCTGTGTGGTGATGGAATGCTAATTTCAATTTGTATTTCTCTCCAACATTGGCTACTTTCTCCTCCACTTGGCTGTTAAATCCTGAAAACTCAACTATAAGCAGAAGCACTAGCTTACCTCGGATACTGAGCCAATAAATATAATTTTAAAATAGAAGAAATCCCCTTATTGGTCTTACCATAACCTTGAACCTTCCAAGCTGGAAGGCTGTTGGTTTGCGCACTGGAGGTGTGTGAGATCCAGGTCTCAGGTCGTTGAATGTCATAGTAACACGTCAGTTTTGTGCCCTGTTATCGCACTTTCTGACTGCTTATTATCTTGTCACAGTCGTGGATAGTTGCTTCATAACTCGTCGGATAATGCGATTTCTTCTATGTTAGAAGCACAAGCAGTCACATCTTGTGGAAATAATCAAATATAAGGAGTCAAATACAGATGAAAGCAGTCAAATACAGTGTGGTATTTGATTGGTATGGATCAGGGAAATTAGTGGGGTCAAATACTAAGAGATTGATGAACTGTAGGTGTTATATCGAAGCTCGAAGCTCCCGCGGCGATATGCAATTGATGGTATGGGCATTACTCCCTTGTTGATCGTCAGGACGGTTAGCAGAAGCTTTTGGCCTGTATAGCATTCGTAGATACATGTACATGAACCACTTAGAGTCGTGTTGCTAGTGACAGTACTAGTGAGGTGAACGAGGGCCGCCGGAAAGGGCATGTGGTGGGGAGATGGAAGCTTAGAGCCGATTCAATGAAATTATTGCTTTGTACAGTCATGTACCTTCATTACTACAGGGTTCACCAGTCGCTCTAAGCTCACCTGATGAGACCTATGGTGGATAATGGTAGTACGGTCGGTGGAAGGTGGAAAGTGGAAGGTGGAACAAGTATAAGGTGGAAACGACTAGCTATCCAAACATTGAGTGCGTACATGTACATGATGGTTGTACAAATACATTTATTATACTGTACGAGTACTACTACTAGCACAATGTACATAAAATGTGCCACGTAAACGATAAATTCATTGACACCACCGTGCCACCAGTGCAGAGCCACCACGTCCAGGGAGAAATCCCCGGTGATGCAATCAAGTACATGTCGGTGGACATGCCCTGGACGAATCAAAGGGAACTGCAAATAAATGCAAGAGTGGCATATAACTAAGCATAAGAAATGACAGTCGCTAAGTGCCAATGTCACTTCAACCATACCATACCACTAGTGGCACTACGCTGCTAGCGCCGCTATGAGTATGATCGCAGGCATGCTCAGAGTCATAGTAACTATTACTTAGCATGCGAAGCGTCTGTGACGTGTAACAGTGGAATGTCAGCTACGTGTTGACGGCGCTGTCTCCGCACAATGAAAAATCGATAAACCGATCACGGCCACGGCCTGCACTGGCTGCACTGGCTGCACTGGCGGGGAAAATACTGGACTGAGTCACTGAGGCAACATGCCGACGACGCCTTTGCACGCAAGACAACTGGGTACTGCACCTACTGCCACTGCCTGGTATTTCAACTCATACTGTTCTGAAGAGGCCAAACAATCGGCAGATGTGAACTTGTTTTGAGCATGCCCATTGGCACCTCTGTGAGAGCTGTGACCCTACGCAACATACACATATTTAATCATAGCCAGCAGAATGAAAGAGTATTTCTGGAACCGTGACAGGGCAACATGGGATGTCAATATCAATGGCTACAATGGTACGGCACGTACTACATGTTCCTCAACTGGTATGAAATTACATCGAAGGGAAATTCACCCTTCCTCAGTCCATGCAACGACGTTACTTGCACGTCTGTGAAGAACTGAAATGCAAATTACAAGTATTCTACATGATTGTACTTCACTCCAGGTGGTGGAAAGGAGCTTGCCGCTTGTGCACTACAGGAATGGAACAGAAACACTGCTTTGATGATTTGCCACGAGGCGAGCTGGCAAACACCAGCAATTATTTTCCTTAGTAGAACTACATTGTATGTGTACATGACCACTACTGTAGTATACATGACTGTATATTTAAATTGAATTCTTTACTCTCACGATGGCACCATCGCCAATGTAGATTCCCACTGACCAAGAAGAGATACGTGTACATTGTATTAAAAAAAGGGGCACACAGATTGCGGTACACCGTGCTCTTGGTAGATCTACGCGTGATCTCTGTTCTTTGTTTCCAAATCTAGACGACTACTACTACAGGCATGATAGTTATAGTAGTATAATTATCGCCTCGTGGGTTCGTTTGGGCTCACTCTTGTGTTGGATTAGAATCATTAGATTAATCCATTGCTTGTTTGATTGCTTGATTGATTTGAAGGATTGACCAAAGGTAGCGGGAGAATAGAAAGAATGCATGTTTGGAATTCTCTTTCATTCAGCGATTCAGACAATCTTGCTGGGAAACGCTCAAAATTGTATTGTACATACACGAGTCACGGAGTACCACGCGTCTGGATTGTTGTAACTAATAGTTTCATGCCAGATGGCAATCTTGACTTCAGACAACTGATAACGGTGATGCACAGCTAGTATATATGTATGGTATTTATGCAGTGGCATAGGAAGGAATCTGCTTCCGCATTGAGCACTCTATCTAACCGGAGGACTCCGCTCTCTGTAATTATAATGATATCAAAAATCTCCAAGCAAAGCAAACACAATGCAAATAAATTCAAGCCATTGTCATTGGTGCGCAGGTGTAACCTCGTCATTGTACATCTTCGCCCTTTGGCTTTGTCTTTGAACAACAGAACGCCGGACGTGATAATAAGCAGCTGCTGGTGCCAGTCGAAAACTTATGTGAGGTCATTGTTCATGTCATAGAGCTATGTACGGGGGAAACCCCTCCGGACACATACTGTAGAAGTAAAATCAGTATCTTTGGCGAAGAAGAGTGGATGTTTCTCGCCTTACCATGCAGTGTCCTCTGGTCACAGGACGACGCCCAAAACCTTACGTCATTTCAGGGCTAGCACCACAATAATCTTTTAAGGTGTGTTCCCCTCATTGACGTCTAGGCCGGTAGTCAAACATTCACAGCTTCATGCGATTAACTTCTAGGCTAGGGCATACTCCCGGTACGTGCGCAATGCCCATGTCCATTTATAAGGCTGCGCCAAGTCGTTTCATGCACAAACCTGTACAGTGTACCAAAGCACCACTCGACTAAACGTTCACACGTCTAACTCTAAGTGTAACAGTTACTTGAAGTCTTTACTGGACTGCTGCTGCCTAGATTCGCCATCAGTCTCACGGGTGATATTACAATCAATATCATACGCTGGACAGACATGCAGAACGTGCTGAAGCGGGCAACGATTATGCATGACATTCAGTGTGAATGAGATCACAAAGCCAAGGACATACATGTATTGTAGACATAGAATAATGGAGCATCACGTTCTGCGTGATCCCTTTACATGACGTCATGGCGTGCCAAGCAGACGTCATTTCGGCTGGTAGTCTGCTACATGTATACAGGCCAGGATGATGTACGTTTCCAGCACGTCCACGATTGTATTGTACAAGACAAAGTGTTAGTCACCTAGTGCTTCGCTTGGTATGTGTGTGTGTGGGGGGGGGGGGGGTGGAAGGTATTGCTATCAGCATGCGCGCCCGACCGAAACAGTTACTCTGCGCGAAACCTTCTCGAACTGGGAAAATGCAACATTGCAAGTACATGTAATGCTCACTTACTCCTTATCGTGATATGAATGTGCGGCAGTGAGCGATACTGTTTCTTCCAACCCCGAGCATGGGGAAATAGGACATAGGGCTGATGAACGCATTCCAAAAGCTTCCTAGTCCAGTGCAGGCAGTGAATAGTGCATGCAGGGAATAGTGCAGGCAGTGAATAGTGCATGCAGTGAATAGTGCATGCAGTGAATAGTGCATGCAGGGAATAGTGCAGGCAGTGAATAGTGCATGCAGGGAATCTAAACCTCCCATAACGCCTGTACATGAAGTTGCGGAGATGATGCTCTGGCCGGCGGGATGTACTTGTATATGTTACTGTACCATAGTGCAGCGGTGATGGTTACAGAGGGAAAATACCCTGCAAGGACCAGTATGATTCGCATTTCCAACACACACACACACACACACACACACCACACACACGCACGCGCGCACACACTCGCATACATACATAATATGCGAGTGTGTGCATCGAAGGTATCAGCATAGGCACACGACCGAAACAGTTGCCGTGCGCGAAACCTTCACGAACTGGGAAAATGCAAGCATTATACGCACACAATATTTGCTCATGCATACGTACACCAATCTTTCCCCATATCTCTACACCGGGGAAGTTTTACGGCGGGAAATCCTCTCCAGAAGCTTTTGTGCCGATCTCTCGCGTCTTAGAAGTACCCTCGTGCACAAGTTGACAAAGAATTACGATCTGGTGACCTGCACTCTCGCTTTCGCTCATGCTTTCGTATGAACGGTGGAGCTCACACTCACACTCACAGGCTCTCCTCTGAGGGAAAGATTGTATGCAGTCATAGCCTAAAATAGACTTTGGCTTTTCATGGGATAATTCTTGAAAAGTCCCCTTTACCTGCTTCAGTTCGGACAACTTCGCCAATGTTCGCACAACTTCGCCAATGTTCCCACTTATCGCGCAAGCGGTTCAGGTGTTTCGTTAGTGCCGAGCCATGAGACAAACGTACAACCGACGATGAGTTGAATCCGTCCGCCAGCCACCTATAACTATGGGCAGACTTCGCATTGCAACATCAGTTTGTCTCAGGCCTCACTGCTTCGCTAAAACGACCTGCAACGCGCAAGTTGAAGTTTCTCTGATACTATGGCGTCTTGCATATTTCTTGGAGGGGCCGTCCACCCCAGATATGTTGGATACGGAGAACAGGAGCGTCAGATCCGGATGGCTACATCGGTAAAGAATGACATAGGAGAGATGTTCAAGTTTGCCGCGGGCCATTCTCAGGTGGTGGTAAACCGACAAGGAAGTGTAAGTGATATGGCCCATCGAATTAGCAACACCTTGTACACTCTTGCTTCGTGCTGCTGAGTATTCCACATGCATACGGTATAGACAGGCGGTGCGTGAATTTGTAGTGAATCAACCACGGTACTATGCTTGCCCAGTCTCTGCATTGAAACATCCCTTCGAAAGTATTCAGCGAATAAGCATATTTACAGAACTGTAGTGCTTCAACAGAATCAAGAAACAATTCATTCTTTTCTTGTTTCTAATTTGGTAGGTTCATGGATATTCATTGAGATGCTTTCGGATTTGATGTAAACAATGCTGCAGAATTTGGAGATGGTGGATGTCCCCTTGATTTTATATTGATGTAGTTTTCATGTCTTAATTTGCGACAGGTTTATCGCCACGACATGAAGGTCAAGTCAATACTGCTGAACGAAGACATCAGCAACGAACTTCACCGTCAGGTATCCAGCACAGTGACAGGCGTGGGTGGTGCACAGAAACCCCTCTTTGATTCGGCTACCCTTAAACCCTACACAAGCAAGTACTCGGTGAGTGCGAGGGGCCAGATTTACCCATCTGATTCTCATCAAACTTACTTTTTGTTGTTGTTGGTGGTGGTGGTGGTGGTGGTGGTGGTGGTGGTGGTGGTGGTGGTGGTGGTGGTGGTGGTGGTGGTGGTGGTGGTGGTGGTGGTGGTGGTGGTGGTGGTGGTGGTGGTGGTGGTGGTGGTGGTGGTGGTGATGGTGGTGGTGGTGATGGTGGTGTTGTTGTTGTTCTTGTTCCTGTTGTTCTCATTGTTGTTGTTGTTGTTGTTGTTGTTGTTGTTGTTGTTCATATTTCTGTTATTTTTGTTTGGCTTATGGATACTGCCGTTGTTGTGAATTATCATTCATGATGTGTGCTGGTGGTGTTGCTGCTACTGATGATGGCAGTCGTCATCGTCATGGTGCTGCTAGTATTGTTATTGTTGTTGGTGGTGGTGGTGTTGGTAGTGGTGGTGGTGGTGGTGGTGGTGGTGGTGGTGGTGGTGGTGGTGGTGGTGGTGGTGGTGGTGGTGGTGGTGGTGGTGGTGGTGGTGGTGGTGGTGGTGGTGGTGGTGGTGGTGGTGGTGGTGGTGGTGGTGGTGGTGGTGATGGTGGTGGTGGTGGTGATGGTGGTGGTGGTGGTGGTGGTGGTGTTGGTGGTGGTGGTGGTGGTGGTGGTGGTGGTGGTGGTGGCGGCGGTGGTGGTACCACAACAGCTGCTGCTGATTTGTTGGTTTAAATTTATGTTACATAATGTCGAAATGAATTTAGCTTAGCTCATAGCGATTGCCAAATTCTAACTTGCTTGCTTTCCTGCGTGTGTATTGCCTGCAGGTTCGTCATGAGATTCGTTCCTTTCTGCAGAATGATTTGAGTAACAACCTAATTATTTTCATGACGGGGCATGGTGGACAGAGAATGGGGAAAGATGGTAAGGTGGTAGAAAGCTTTCTGCTGCCACAGCAAGGATCGGCTATTACTGAGAACTATACTGATGCTGACCTCACGCAGGACATTGTGAACGCCCTACCGTCCCACAAGAAGCTCTACATCGTCATGCACTGCTGCCACTCCGGTGGTATGGTCAATTTCTGGCAGCTGGACACAAACAAGCAGGTCGCACTTTTCGCCAGTGCAGAAGCCGACCTTCTAGCCGAATGGAGCTCTGAGGGCGACACAAACTTCGTCGGCACGTTCTGCTCAAAGGCCGGCTTAAGGGCCGGAAAGCGATTGAACGCTATCGCAGACGAAATTTATCAGACCCTCCATCGCGTTCCCACCATCCGGCCGGTTTTCAAAACAACTCGTCCATCTATGGCAGAAGAAAGTTTCTTGTCCTAGAATAAAACGTTTGAACAACAGAACAATACTGTTTTCAACGTGAATGATGGATTTATGCTAGTTTTGTAAAAGTCTATTCTCTGTAAGTTATTTTAAAAGCCTGTACAATACCTGTACATTGATATGCAAGTTGCCATATTCCCAACTAAACTAGAACTTGCACATGAACTACTATAGTTTGGGTATCCACAGAGTAAACATTGGTTAGTAGCTTAGTGATTGGATTAGTTAGTAGCTTAGTGATTGGATTATCAGCCTATTTCAAAGTTTTTCTTGGTAAGATCAGCAGATTCTCCACTGATTTCATATACTCACATTAGACACCTTATGCACAACATCATGCATCATTCTGATCTCTATTATTATCTGGATTGAACGTATTTCTCCGTACCTAACACCATGCAGTCGATGACGCTGATCTGCTTTTTCAATGGTGATTTGAACACTGATTTCCATGCGGAGCTTGAATGAGTGATGCCGCTGTATTCGTGCAACCAAGAGTACATAACCGCCAGGGGTTATACAGCCTCTTGGTTATACAGCCTCTTTTACGAGCAAAATAGACACAAGGAACTCTTGTACTCCTGGCACAACCGAGCTGAGTCCAGAATCACGAATGGCACCCAGTTGTTTTGCCTTTTGGTGGGATCATCCCAACACTGCGACAAGTCAACTACATGTACATATGTCATTGTACATTCTACTCCTCTGTAGTCGAGTGGACATGCACACGGACATGCCTTGTTGAACTGAATGGTCCGCACATTTTGACTGGAGCTCTCCGGGCTGCACATCAGAGAACGAATACAATGTTAACATGTACATGTACGTGTATACACCTCCACACTGGGTATAAGGTAGTGGAAGCAGGCAGCACCGTCATGGGATTCGAGATATTCCCCCCTGCTCCGCTCGTGACTGAGATCTTCTATGACCTCATGCCTTGGCCCGAAGCCAACACGATGGGTTGGGTGGGGATAATCCAATGCTGGTTAGCTTTCGAACAACATATGTGGTGGTAGAAACTTCGACGATACCGATCTTGTGAGTTGTGACCCTTCACGGGGATTACTGTTGGTGAGTAATGGCTTTCGAAGTCGTAATTGTAAACATTGAGGCATTCTTTGTCTGAAACGTGTTCTGAACAGGAACTCTGCAGACATACCTGAACCCGCCTTGCCTATTTCATGGTCCAGTAGGCATACCGGTGAACGTGCAGGAACGTTCCAGAAGTCATCCAAGAACGTGATGATATGGGCACGATCATCCACGTCGACCTCAAGCTATGCCCTTCCCTTCAACTGGCATGTGACCCATCACGTCCTAGACTTCGGTAGTACGGTACATTCCCCCACACCATGCCATAACACGTGAAATGCATCACAGCAGCACGCTCAGATTCTATATAAACCCACCACGCTCGCATCATTGGTCAGGTTTTTCCAGAGTGTTGGTCGTTCAACTTGACTCTAAAGAACCACTTCATCGAGCCCACAAGCTGGAGGAAACAGCTTGCTTGCAAAGCAAACATTTCCTGACGAGCAGAAGAAAGGTCGTGTTCAGAAACACGTCATTGTACTTATGCTAGCCAGCTTGAATCGTCTGAAATGAGTGCATCTTGCCTGTTCCTCGGCGCTGCCGTTCATCCACAATACGTTGAGGACAATGAGAGAGAAAAGCAATGGCGAATGGTCAGCGCTGTGCAGTCGGATATAGAAAGCATGTTCAATTTCGCTGCTAGCCATTCAGATAAACAATATCGAAGGAGAGGAAGACCGGTAAGATTCAGATTTCTTTAGCTCGTACAGGACGATTTGGTGCTGTGTACAAATACTAATCTCGATATGCGAATCCGGCAAGTGTCTGAAAATTGAAAACCATTTACATGAATGTGTTTAGCATGCTTTTACTTCACATTCGTTCTGTAGAATTACATTCACGATGTGCAAGTTAGCGGCGTGCTTCTCAACCAAAACCTCTACGACGAGCTCGAGGATCCCATAGCACAAGGGCAGCGTCAGAAGCAAGGTGCAAACCAATCGCTCTATGAGAAGATGGATGACAGGAACCGTTTTCAGCCCTATACAAATTTAAAACAGGTAAGATGTGGGACTCGTAGCACTACTAGATTCGGTTACGAGCATTCGATCGGCAGTGAATTGGCTGTTCGAAGCGGGACAAGGAGGGATTCTGTGAAAGAGGATGAATCTAAATCTACTTAGCCCTAATCTTTGCGCCAATTATGCTCACCCCTTTCAGTACAAAACTGTTGATTTTAACTATCTAAGCCATTCTACAATATCTACCTTCACTGACGAGAGTTTTATACTCAAACAGCTGTATGGAGGAATTCAGTACCAACAGATGTGTCGCTTTGCTGGTGGTGGTGTGCTGTGGCAACGTGTCGAGGTTGGCTGGAGAGCGCAGTGATGGTGTGGTGGTTGATGGAAAAATTATTTGAAATCACATTTCTTGCTATTTACAATGTACAATGTAGGAGGCTCCCCTGATACGCTAAGCATCCCTTAACAACAACAACAACAACAACAACAACAACAACAACAACAACAACAACAACAACAACAACAACAACAACAACAACAACAACAACAACAACAACAACAACAACAACAACAACAACAACAACAACAACAACAACAACAACAACAACAACAACAACAACAACAACAACAACAACAGCATGCGATCTTTCCTGTGCTTTCATTAGGTACGTGATTCCATTCAAAACTTCCTGGCCGGAGAGGAGGAGGATTATTCCCCCGACAATCTCATTCTCTTCATGACTGGACACGGAGGCCAGCACAAGCCTGGCAGAGTTGTGGAGGAGTATTTCTGTCTACCGAAACCAGGCTTGTCAGCCAATGACTCTGCATTGTACACAGACAGCATGTTGACAGAGGACATCACAAAGTATCTTCCCGCTGAAAAAACTCTGTACTTGATCATACATAGTTGCCATTCAGGCGGGATGGTGAACTTTTGGAAACTGGACCCCGAAAACGAGAAAGTCGCGTTGTTTGCTAGTGCCGAGGCGGACATCTGGGCAGAATGGAATGCCGATGACACACCTAGTTTCGTTCAATCCTTCTGCAAACATGCAGAGATTGGCAAGCAGCTCTGCAGTATAGCCGGAGACATCTACCAGGAGCTGTACAGCGTTCCCGAAATTCGGCCTGCCTTCAAAACAACAAAACCAGAGATGGCAACCGACCCTTTTCTAGAGTAGATTAAGGCACTCTTTAAATTAAAAGGACTCTCTAGCCTTCGGCCAGTAATCGCGCAATTACGTAGATCTGGACCCTGCTCAATAGTGTAGCATTGTTTTCTCTAGTTCGTGCTTTTTTTGTTTTTGCTGTTTTACGTATTCTTAGTTTCTGTTTACATTACATTAATTTTTAGAATCTGTTTATATTTTCAGCAACGAACTAGCCCTGTGAATACTATTGCGTTTTTATTGTTTACCTTTTTACATGTACTTCTGTTTATTTTTATTTTGTTGTTCTCGGCGTTCCAAAGTCTCAGCGTGAATCATTAATGCACAATTTACATCTTTCAAAGCATTCGTCTAGGGATTGAGTTTGAATCTTTTACACAACCTTGTTACATCTGCCTTGAGTTTCTTTGGATTAGACTTTCTCAAATTTTCATTTTGATTTCATCGTCGAGTTTCATCCCTTGTATCTTTGGTGTTCTTCCTTCTTTCCATGCCGTATTGTTTGAATAATCCCATTTTGAAAGCCTTGAAATGGTGCCACAGCTGCACTGTGTGGAATCTGTGTAACACTGCCGTGTACATGTACTTTTAAAGCACCTGCATGTGCAATGGCCTCACCCAGTAAGCACTACTTGCAATTTAGTTGCAAACGTTCGTATGTCTTCCACTTTCGTTAGTCACCTGGTGGTCATCTGAGTTCTACGTAATGTGCGACCTTTGTCAAGCCCCATAATACTGCATATTTCAGTTGATTTGTTGATGCTACCATGAAGCTACATGTAGCTCCAATGCATGTGGATATACATGTACATGTACAGATAATAATGATCAACACGTTTAGACTATTTTAATAACAGGGTGACAACACCATAGTATTGCAGCCTTCCCATAATTATGGCATTCAATTGACCGTAACTTTGGTGTCTCTCAATGGATTTGAGTGACATTTTGACCACACACTCCTGCCACTATGCTGGCCCTCTGGACATGATTTAAAAGTTCTTGCGCCTCACTGACAGGCTTTCCAGGCTGGAAAAACTCAAAATTCCGGCATAGTGCCACGGTGTGCGAGCCACCCATGAGCCAATAAAATGCATTTACAATTTTCCACATTTTCGTGCCCATTCTGTCCGTGCGCGGGATCCAAACCTAAAACAAGTCCAGAAGCAGCCATGGGTGGTGGGGTAGGGCCCCTCGACGTAGCCCTGGAATCCGTCACAACGGAACGAGTGGGCGTTCTCTCACAGACTCCCACAAACCCAAGTCAATTTTTGAATTTTTTTAGGTTTAGCAAATGCTACGAGGTCGTACCTTTGATACAACATCCAGTGCTGGGACCTCCACAGCAAGCCATTTCCACAGCGCTGCACGCCAAATCCAGGATGCCGTCAAAAACCGGCAGAGACTACCACTCACGTTCCACTAATATTCGCGGGATCCGCGTTAGCATCACTTGAATGTTCAGAAACACATAAGCTATATAGCCTTCGCTTCCGCAGGCCACCACTATGCCTTTACACCTTAGTGGCGAATGCAGACCTCACAAGTGAGTCAGGGGAGAGGAGGTGAGTCTCTCAACCAATTGGGCGTGTAACGGCCCATATTCCCATAACCCTGTAAACTGCATCCGTTCCACTACTGCCTAGTATTGAATCCTACCTGACTTCTTTACACGACTCAAACTTGCCAAAGTCACCAAATCAGCGTCGACTACAATAATCAAGCCACATATCTGCAACGTCACGAGGGTGCTGGCAAAAGTCCTGCTGCACGGCGGCGGGCTTTGCTCGCCGCCGTGCAGCCCAATACGTGGCTAAAAAACGTGATATTTTGGACTTTTTTGGACTTAATTCTGCACACTTTCGCATGTTTCCATGGTACGACAAGTTGCGCATGGTCTGCTCACATTCAAATACAGTGCTGCCAACAAATGACAGCGTGCAACAAAAAAATCTTTCCTTGCAAGGGCACATTTTAGGCCATAACTCTTGAACGGCTGGTCAGATCGAGACAAGATTTTCAGAGATTTTGAATCTGTTCATGCTCTTTCAACTGATGTAGCACTCGATATGAATTTACAAATTCGACTTTTCAGGGATTTACGACCAGTCCGCCCCCTGAATTTTTAGCACATACATGTAGTATTATAATGTAGAGGAGACGGCTCGATACCGGGACGTTTTGACAGCCAAATTTGTATAGACCCAAACCGATCATCAGCGTTGATTTTTCACTCGAAATATGTTTGTGGAAGGAAACTGGCATGTTGAAGTTTGCTCTGGGGCCAGAGTCAATCGAACTGAGCCACTCCTTTGTGTTGACCCATTGCCTCCAAGTTGCCCAATTTTTCGCTTCAAAAAAGTTCAAATCAGAGGTGGCTCCAAACCGGACACGTTTAGAGTGCACGTCAAATTCACTCTGGGTCTGAAATTAGGTAATTGCTATCGCTCCACGACGGCCAGTATAGAGTAACAATAAGCCTTGTGTGTGCTTCCATTAGTTTTGATTGGTATGCGGTGCTTTATTGGCGAGAGGCGAGCCGCTGTTTACCTGCGACAAGAAGTTGATTTTTCGAAAGTCGTAAAACTCAAGTCGCAGTGCGAAGCAACACGTCAAAAACTCACCTGCTGATATGGAGCTTCTGGTCATCGCAGAGCCATGAAATTTTGGCTCGGAGTATAACACATAGTAGTGTCACTGTGACATATGTTTTCTAATCAAAATACCAAGAGAGAAAAGTGAATATTGAGTCCGTTCCGGTTTGCAACCGGTGTCCTATTTGAAACCGTCCCCTCTACATGTACATGTAAAATACATTGTAGTCCTCTTGATGATAGATAGTACAGCAATACTAGTAATATAATGATCCTGACGGCATAGCGTTAGCTGAGAGAGCACATGCGTGTGAAGTGGTTGTCATGCAGTGCACTCGGGGTAAATGGTTGTCATGCAGTGTAAGTGAACTTTTCTCGCCACCAAAGCCCGCCCGCCCAGGTGGCCTTTGATTCAACAAAACGGGTCTACCACCAACTTCAAAACGGGTCTATTCAAACAATACGACATAGAAAGAAAGAAATTCACGGTTCGCGTGAGACTCGGCTGGAAACCGAGTTTTCCGCACCCGTAGGAACGCCACCACCCTTCAAGGATCAAGGCGCAGAATGCAGCTCCTAAATCGGTGAGAGGTGAGTAGATCAGCTCACCAGCAAGTGGTCAAAGACCGAAAATCCCATTCACTGCATCCATGTTCTCCTCGTGCCAAGCCACGAGTTCCCAACTAACTGTGGGTCGCAGCAATAGAAAGAAGGAAGAAAAGAAAACCAAAGATACAAGGGATGAAACTCTACGATGAAATCACAAATTTGAAAAGGTCTAATCCAACGAAACTCAAGGCAAATGTACCAAGGTTGTGTAAAAGATTCAACTCAATCCCAAGACGAATGCTTTGAAAAGATCGGAAGTGTCCATGGATGAAAATAAATAGAAGTACTTCGAAGTAAAAAAAAAAGAAAAGAAAAAAAGAGAAAAACAATAGAAAACGCAACAGTAATGCGGAAAAAAAACAAGAGCAGCTACACAAAGTTCCAAAAGGACCTCAAAAAGACACAACAAGAAAACATAGAGTCAATGACAAGACATGCGGCCGGTGAGCTAAAGCACGACACTCGTGACAAATTGGCGACGTCGGCTGGCACCCGATCCACTGCGTCTGTAAGACGCCCGCGAACCCCGGAAGCAAGTTATCTGCCGCCGCACGAGAGATAGACTGATCCTGTATCGTAAATGACGGATTATGTCGGCATGGGGAACATCACGGTTTTTGTCGTGCAGCTGAGTCGAGAGGGTTTTCAGAAAAATGGTACTCTCTGGGGCACACTGCCCGTTGGTGGCGAAAACTAACGGAGTGAAGGAACCCCGGTCCACCTGATTAATCCGTTCAGAATATTGCCCGCTTCTTCTGACGCTCGTGTTGGCTGAGCTGACGTGCTACTTCTGGACCCGACAGCAAAGATGGCCTCGGGTGAGTTACCCGTACATCAAAAAAGGCATTTTGCTGCCTGATCTTTCATTCATGATTCACCGATCCCAGCTCATGATGTTACTTGAGAAGACGTTCAGTCGTGCTTTGCAAGCTAAGCTTCTTTAATCCGAATGAGATGTCTACTAGGATGGCCACTTCGAGAGTCAACAGGAGTCAAACAGTGATGCCGCTGGCAAGCGATCCACAGCGACAGCAAGCCGGTTCTACCATGCATGTGTATGGAGACTCTGGTGCAGAGTGATGGTCGAGCCTGAAGGCGCCAAGAAAAGAAGCAAATTGCATTCCTGACTCGGAGCACCGTGAGCTGAAGTAATAATATTTGCAAGAAGGACTTCACCATTATTATCTCCCATCCACTGGCCACCCCTCATAGGGTTCTGTCCTATACTCTGGATCGAATAGACGCGAATATCAGCTGAAATCAGCTGAAATTCAGCTGATATTCGAAACAGGATCCGCCGCTACAAGTAGGCTTGTACATGTGAGAAATGGAAGCAAAGAATTCGTATTCAGCCTCAGCTCAAGTGCTGGAATCGGAGCCCTCCGATTCCGCACTTTCGTCCTCGTACCCATGCTTGATTCCCACAGCACAGCCTTTCACGCTTTGGGCAGTGTAGTAATCATTAGGCGATCAGCGTCTCGCACTCGTAGATCTACTCGCCTCGGAAGGTTCTAAGTTTTAGTTAGCTCGTGCTTGTCTTGGTTGCGCTCACATTCCCCTCCTATGCTATCATATAACTACTTAGAGACTTCCGAGTTGGAAGGCTGTTGGAGTGCGCATCCAAGGCGTGCTAGAGCCGATAGCCAGTTGCATGTAGTTGTAGAACGTCAGTACCGTCGGTCAGTGTCGTGCAATGCTATCGCATGAGTTGATTGTTTAGTAACTGGTGGTGTTAGTGTACCTTATGCGTAACTTGTAGTTCCTTGGTCCTTTTCCTTTCTGTAAAACTATAAGAACTAAGACAAGCACCACCTCACATATGCCCCTCCACAACAATTAACCAACTCTCGGAGTACATTGACTGGACGGTGGTATGCCGAGCGAGAGCTGCGGATGCACATTATGGCAGCTCTTAGCAAAGCGAATGCTAACCGCGTCCACTTCGCCAAATCCGCTTGCACTAGGGTTGGTATCGATCGCCATTGGTAGTTGGTATCATGGCAGGCGCTTTGTTATAGGATGTGATGTGTGATGGATAATGTCGTTGCACAGGGATAGGAAGTTTATAGTTGGACAAGCCAATGCACTTTTGGTGCCCTGTGATAGACGCATTTTGCATTAGTATAACTGGACTGATGGATTCAGTGTGTTCAGTGGTTATAACCTATCAGGCTGGTCGGAATTTGGGCTCTAAAGTTTGAGTTATAACACCGAGACAAAGGGCACACTGCAGGCTCTTCACCATCATCTTGAAAGCGTTTCACCAGTATACTTTCAAGCCTTATCGTTAGGTGAAATACAAGCAAAATCAAATGAACAAGGACAATGGATATTAAACGTACAGTAGACAGGTGATAGAAACAGTGGAAGGAAAGTGCCTATATTTCACCTGAAGATAAGGCTTGAATGTATACTAGTGAAAAACTGTCAAGATGATGTTGAAGAGCCAGAAATGTGTTCTTTGTCTCAGTGTTATCCTAGTCTCAGAAGAAACTGTATTATTTGATTAGTAGCAGTTTGGCTCCTGACGGCATTTCGACATACGCTCAGAACGCGTGATGCTTGTTGAGTTATCTCGCCTTGCCTGCATCGCTGATGAATAGTTTTCTTTCTGTGAGGCAAACATGTATATTACACCTCTTGGTGGCGCTGGAGTATGGGCATGTGCGGCGGCGTAAAGAACAGTACCTGAGCCGGAGTACGCGAAAAGGGACGTCATCCCGAGTTTCAGTTGATAGTGAGGGCGAGTCTTTTAGGTTATACTTATAGTGAGGGCCCTGTGCGAGTCTTTTAGTTGCCAAACATACCGTACATGTACTTGGGGATTGGTGTGCCATTGTTTCCTGTTTCTTGTGTCGTCATATCAATGACGAAGATGCCAGGTGGCTGGCACTTGGCGCAGTCTCTGTTTTGAGTATACATTTTTTTTTTTTTTTTTACTAGCAAACACAGCCCTACTAATAATCAGGGGAAGAGGACAACTGAAATGACACTGGACAACAAGACAAAGGGGAGTAGGGGGCGATATGCCGATGTGGTTGGCGAGGCTCATCCGACCGGAGGTCTCGGAATCATAGCCTACGACCAGGCATCGATAGGAATGCAGCTAGGGAGGGAGGGAGATCAAGTGAGAGTGAGAGAGAGAGAGAGAGAGAGAGAGAGAGAGAGAGAGAGAGAGAGAGAGAGAGAGAGAGAGAGAGAGAGAGAGAGAAGAGAGAGAGAGAGAGAGAGAAGAGAGAGAGAGAGAGAGAGAGAGAGAGAGAGAGAGAGAGAGAGAGAGAGAGAGAGAGAGAGAGAGAGAGAGAGAGAGAGAGAGAAGAGAGAGAGAGAGAGAGAGGAGAGAGAGAGAGAGAGAGAGAGAGAGAGAGAAGGAGAGAGAGAGAGATGTGTCTTCAGACAGCAGTTGATAGCCTCACCGTTGCCATGGTATTCTCTGAGAGATCTTGCACACGTAAATGTAACTTAACTGTACTCATTTCAAACGGTTTTTTAAGACGACATGATTGTATCGGCTGATTAGACAAGAGCACGGTTACATTTTCCTGTCTGCTGAACTCCGGAGATGGAAGTAATAGTTGGAAAGTGAAGAGGCAAGCAGATGCAGCTTCATTAGCATGGCTCACCAGTCCGCAGCGTAGACTTTACAACTACATGCACTTGCAACTGTATAGCAAGATAACTTTACTACTTGCCAGGATATACGTTTGTAGCCAGATGATGTACAGGTTACTGTATAGCAGGAAATTTTCGGACGGAAATATTTTCGGACAAAGCCGATTTTCGACCTTTCGTACGGATTATATTTTCGTACAGTGCTTCATGCTAAATGCACGTGTTTGCATGCGCATGTACATGTATAGTTTACTAGTACAATAACCAGCAAATTTAATACGGAATTAATTTTAGTACAAAAGAGGCTGTGTACGAAATCGTACGAAAATAAATTCCGTCCGAAAATTTCCTGCTATACAGTATCAGTTGTCTGAGGCTTGCCTCAGCGTCGCTATGTGCATCATGAAACGCAGCGTTGCAACAATGATCTAGCCGGTTGTCTCCTTTCTTTCTGTAAGCTCCAGCATATGTACTCTTGCTAACTTATAGACATGGAAGGTACATGTAAGCCAGATCGCCGAAGCATCAGATATGGAAATATGTTGTAAGGTCGCCGTGACAACTATAGCCAGAAGAACATAACGTTTCACCTCCAATGAGTGTATTGCACACAGTACAAGCACGTGCACTTCCAGTACATACACTTCTAACTTAGCTCATCGTTCCAACTGTCTCTGTATCCAACCACACTAGCACCAGTAACAGAATAAAACAGGTTATATGCTCTGGCGCCGAGAGTTACATTTCGAAGATCAGCAGATAACAATATCACAACAAAAGGCTCTGCGCGTCACACCCGTATTATATAGTATAATATCATGTCAGGCATTACAGCAGTGAAAGCAGATACCTGTCTGTCTGTAAACAATCGAATAGTTTGTCGAGGAAAGAGGTCATATCAGTCTGTATGTGGTCTACAGGGTAGTGTCTACACAACTGCATACATATAGGTAATAAGTCACCGTTTTTAAAAGTGAGACAGAACGTTGCCATGGTTACTCAGTGTACTGCTCACTGCCATTTTGATCATGCCGGCTCGTCCCGGACCCACCGATTTATCGTATCCATGGCATCACCGTGGAGTAGGGGCGTAGAACCAGCTGGTGCTCTCGGAGGCCGCTGAAGGCTCTTGATCTTCCTCTGCGCCTTCCTCAGCTCTGTGGTGAGGCGCTCCACTTGACTGGAGAGCTCTGTGACCAGGGCAAGATAGCCTGCGCCGCTGTCGCTGTCGTCGTCCTCATCACCGTGGCCCTGTGTGGCACGGGTTGCCTGCTTTTCGCTGCGCAGCCTCTCCACGTCATCTGTCATACAAACAGAGAATGTACAGTATCAGCTACTGAATTCGTCGGCGCAATGCTTGGCAGTGGCACATCCACCTGCTTCCCATCAGGAATTCTGCCACTTCCTGAAGTGAGGCGTTGGGCTTACAAAGTGCGGCGTTAAACACAGCCACTGGAACAAGCCACATAATTGCAGTGTCATTTACTTTACACGAATAAACAAGCTAGCGCTGCTCACACCTAAATCACATAGAATGCTTCACACCTAGACAGGGTGGTCAGGAGCTGATTTCGAGGAATGCTGTCTGGGCTTTATCTGTAAAAACACTTACCGAGCACATACACAACCTTACTAAGAGGTCTACGTGAATTCCTGTTGCTGGTCAGGTATGACAATGCATGTCTTATCCGCTACCCACAGCACATTGAATGATGTGCACACAGAAATGCAATGCACGGCCATGTACATTACTCCATGCATGATCTAAACACACCAAACAAACCAAAATAAGTCAAACATACTGGCAATGCCATTATCCTGTCACATCACCTACTTTTTAGTTGCTCATTCTCCGCGGTGAGATGGACATTCTCCTCCCTCAAGGTCATAATCGTTATTCCGGCCTCCGTTCGAAGCTCCGCCGATTTGGCTCGTTGTTTTCTGAGACGTTTTGTGAACTGTTCTCTCTGTGGCAAACACAATGAGAACATTCGATATTGTGACTGCCAGCATGTACTTTGTACAAAAAGATGGCTGACGTATGTATGTATGTATGTATGTATGTACACACTAGTCAGAACAACAGATGGCTTGATCAGTCACAACTTAAAGTTTCATGCCATCTCAGGCACTCATCAGGTGATATCACCTGATGAGTGCCTGAGATGGCATGAAACTTTAAGTTGTGACTGATCAAGCCATCTGTTGTTCTGACTAGTGTGTCACGGCTCTACCTTCCAGGTATCGAGCTCTCTTGGATTTCTGCTGGAATTCACAACAGTATGTATGTATGTATGTATGTATGTATGTATGTATGTATGTATGTATGTATGTATGTATGTATGTATGTATGAATAACCCATAGCCATTCTGGTCGTAGGGGCGCCATGTGTGTCATAAGGCAGCAGCATCAAAAGAACAGAAAGAAAAAAGCTCGTCCTCCTTATTACCATATTAAAATTGTTGTCACCTCGTCGAATATTTAAAGAAAAAAGAAGAAGAAAACTAACTACACTGATAAGCAAGCTGCCTATACCTATCACGATCAGCAGCATCGTGAGATAGAGAGAGAGAGAGGGAATTGTGGCTAATAGATAGGTTTCGCTTCACGTTGTTCTGCACCACACCGCGAAATTTCACGTCGGTGTGGCAAATTTTGGCGTCGAAACTCCCGTTCATGACGTGAGCTGAGGTCAAATCACGTTCGACGTGAACGCAAGTTTCACGTAAGAGCACAAATCACGCGGGTTGAAACCTCTCTATTGGGCTTCCTTTACTCAAATATACCAATACAGAACATCACTGGAAAGGCACAGGCAGAGTATCCTCCAAACACTGCCATTCCGCACGCGGATCATGCTGTGTGCTGTAACTGAATGGGTCAGCAACATTATATTGCACGGGTATGCCACAAGGCCAGGAACTGCCTGAACTGCCGTTAGGCATACTTGGAGCCGGGTTTTCTCAATCCCAGCATCTTTCACCCGATGAACAAGACACACGGAGAACACAGAGCCAGCACTTTCAAACCAATGTTTGTATGCAGCACTTTTCATCATGGCCTACATAGAGTATGCCCCCAACACTATAACTGCAAAGCCAAGATGACATTACTTACGAGAGATCTTATTTCTTCCGCGGCAGTTGTTAGCTGAGACTCAAGACTGGTGATAATCTAATGGGCACGGTGTACGCCGAAGCAAAACAAAGAAAACTCCAGGATGCATGCCATACATCACAAAATGCAAATCGCGTACGGGTTGCATGGTAGACCCACCGATTGGGCTTCAGAGTGCTGGCCTTGTAATCCTGACACTGCAAGGAATCGACGCCTTCTGCCTTTGGGCACAGGGAAACCAGCTGACCAAGGAGATTCATTCGTGTTTTGCACCTGACGTTGGTTTGCATGGCGGATGGTGGTCATGGAGAGGGGGAGGGAGGGCTAGCAAAGAAACAAGACATCACGCAATGCCTACTACCCTGAAGGTCAGACATTCACAATGTAAGTAGATCACCTGACATTTATTTGCCGGTGGTGTTTGGCCTTGCTCACTTATATTAGCAAAAGCAGAAAAGGATTCAAGGCCATCAATTAATTTTCACAAACACATCAATCAGTATGTTTGCAAGCCAGCAGCAAAATATTATTTTTTCAGAAGCTATGTGTGACTAGATACTCAGCGGCATAGAAGCATCAGTTTACCTTGTTCTGTGCCTCCACTGTTTGCTTACTCTCGTCTTCGCTTCTCTGTGAAACGGTACTCTCAGCCCTTGTGCTTGGCGCTTCCAGCCGAGCTACCCTCGCGTCAGTCGGTGTGATCGAAGAAGAGAGCTGATTAGAAGATAGCTGATGTCTTAGCGACTGTTGCAAGGAGACAGGGAAGGAATACTTGCACATGCTCACTTCTTACAGCACGGAACCAAGTGGAGTTGTACATGCAGTGATGACAAATGAAATCCAACCCGATGAGTAGAACAGAGGCACATTTCACTGCACAGTCCACTGTTCACAGGGCTTGGGTTGCACAGTCCCACGATTGGGGTTTTCTCAGGGCTGGATTTCACTTGCCAGCACTGTACTGAGTGAAATGTGACCCACAGTGCAACACTGGGTTCAATGAACCAGTGCCCACCACATTGCTGTATTTGTACTTGTATGGAGTGGTTTCACATCTATCACATGACCATACAGGGCAGCCATGTTGGTTCCTACTCCACTCCTCCCCTGCGCATATGGGTCACGTGATGTGGGCCATGTTGGTTCCACTGTCCAAGTGTCATGAACACTTTCTACACAAATTAGTCACATGAGAAACTGATGTGAAACCACTCTACACGCTCAGCAATATTCACACACTCGCACAGCATCAACAGCATCAACAGCATCAACAGCCGTGCAAGTACTGAGTACTGGAACAGTGAAACCTGTCTAAGACGACCGCTCAAAGGTCCTTCAAAACGTGGTCTCTGTTACCAGGTGGTCTCCTTATCCAGGGTCATTTGAGTGGAAATAGCATCCCTTGGTCCTGGGTACGATGGTCCTCTGGGACAGGTGGTCGCCTTATCTGAGTGGTCGCCTTGACAGGTTTTACTGTACTAGTACACTGCACTGTAGTTGAAGAGTCACCAATGGTCACTGTATGACACTAATGCACATTCATCCCCGGTAGCACAAAACATACCAGATTCTCAGTCTCCAGCAGGTGACACCTGGCTTCTGCAGCAGAAAGCTGCTCGATGACATGGCTTCTTGAACGGGCGGCTGTGCTTGCCTCGTCTCTTCGGTCATTAGCCGACGTCAGATGAGAGGACGAGTCCTGCAGTTTGAATTAGACACAAACGTATTGTGTCATGTTGAGATGCAGGTACAGGGATACTGAAGTTTTGAAGCACATTGTGGGATATCAACATTTCAGATTTTAAATATTATGTAAATAAACAAGGGCGTCGGAAGATGTTTTAAGGCCGATTCATACTTCACTTTGCGTCCGGGAAAGTCATTGCGCAATCGCGATGACTTTCCCGTACGCGAAATAGTTGATCTCAAGTCAACTTTTTCGCGATGGGACGCGTTTTCCGTACGCGAAATGAAGTATGAGTCAGGCTTTAGGGCCCGGTCACACATGCACTGGGGTTCGCTTCGGCGTTGAGATTCGGCGGCAGCGAGCCTGGTGTCGCTCCAGCGAAATCACGAGTGTATGGTCACACATACAAACAGGGCAAACTCCTACTTTGGCGGAAAATGAGAGTAAAGTGGACTGTGGTGCATACGGTACGGAGAATAGACGAGGTCAATGACTATCTTGCACGCATTTTTGTTGCATGGACATCATACGCATACAAATTTCTCGTAGCAAGTCCATATAGCAGACCGTGGTGTTTTCCGCTGAAGCGAATCCGCAGAAGCGACAGTCTCGCTTCGAAAATTTTGGAGGAAGCGGATTGGAGTTTTCGCTGAAGCGGAAGTTCCGCTTTTCGCCGTTGCCATGCCATTTTTCGCTCCTGCGACCTCGCTTCAGCGTATACGCTACTTTCGAGTGCATGTGTGACCGGGCCCTAAGGGTGGTACAGTCAGCCACTTAAAG